GGATCTCAGGATAAATCCTGAGGGGATTTCACTAACTTTATCAGACCCAAAAGCTACAACTCTTGTTGCATAGGTCTTGCTTTACCTTGGTCTTAACCACCCAGCAGAAAAGTATAAAAACAAAGTATATGAAGCACAGCTGTGCTGCTATGTTGAGAAGTAGGGGACTCAGGTCAACAATTTCTGACATTTCCAGTCAAGCCGAAGCTGCAAAAGTATTATGGACTACTGGACTCTTTTAGAATATTTTGCTGATGTAACACACCTATAATATTCAAATATCAGAACTAAATAAAAAAGGGATACAGATGACTGTCCATTTTGCATCTGTGTATTCAAAATGGTTAGGATAGATATATAGTTACATTCTCAATGAATAGAGTTATTTGTTCTAATGGTGTTTGTAAATAGATCACGTCTGCATCTTGTACAGCAAATAAGCACTAGGAAAAATGTATGCAATGTGTTAATTGTTGAAACTGTCCTACCAAGTTGGTTTGATACTCTCTCATCACTATTTGTTTATCAATAAAATTATGGAAAAATGAGTAAAAATAAATAAATAAATGCTGGACTTACAGTATAAGTGTTCACACTGAGACTGGTATCTCCTTTTAGAATGTTTTCATGATAAGTGCATATTTTAACATGGTGAAATCTAGGTTTCCAAAGAAAAAGTTACATTTTCCAGTTTATATTGAGTCTTTAGCTAGAATAGGAAATTATTATCAAGTATATGTCAGAAATAGGAATGTAAAAATTTTTGATGAATACCATATAGATTATGTGGTGGTTATAATCATAGGGACGTAGTTTGTCTCATTGTGTCTTAAGCCAACATATACTATTCACAGTTATAAACAATGTATCAATTATAATGATAGGACCGGAGTTTTAGAATAAAAAATACAGAGTGGTACTTTCTGTATGTATGGAATGCTCTCTTTTGAGATTCTTTAATTTTCTGTGAACTGTTTAGATCAAACTTATCAATAAAATTATATATTTAATTTATTGGAAGTAATATGCTATATGACAATAAATTCAGGAAATTTGACAATGAATACACATTTTCACACAAAATGCAGTTGAACTTCAAGTGGCTTCAAACTAATATTCAGAGATATATTTTATATGTATATTATAACATTATTATAAATTTTTAAATAATTATTTTTTTTCTTAACAGAGCGAACTATCATTACTGTGCCCCCTTCTAAAATGGATGTGACAGTTGGAGAGAGCATTGTCCTGCCTTGCCAAGTATCCCATGACCCCTCCATTGAGGTCATATTTGTATGGTCTTTCAATGGAGTTATCATAGATTTACAAAAACGGGTGACTCATTTTGAAAGGATTGGAGGAGTAAGTAGCTGAACATTTTAAGTGTTCAATAAAATGAATCAAGTCTATTACACAAAACACCAGTTCCATAATTATTTACCCTATCTTTATTTGCATGGGTAATCACTATCTGCTTATGAAAGTGCATCTGGTTTTGCATCATTTTGTTTTATGTCTTGCATAGATTTTTTCCATATACAAGTATAATAAAGTACATAACAAAAGATACCAGCTATGAGAAATGACAATGATCCCAATGTCGTCTGTTTTTATATCTATATTATATGTTATATTTATCAAGCTGTTTTAAAAAAATAGGAACCTGCTGTGTATGGTTTTATTTTATCTCTTTCCCTTCTTCTATCTATAGGAATCTGTTGGGGATTTGATGATAAGGAATATTCAGTTAAGTCACTCTGGAAAATATCTATGCACTGTGCAAACAACCCTAGAGCGTTTATCTGCTGCTGCTGATATCATTGTCAGAGGTAAGCATAAATGATGAAAAAGCGATCACATTGTTCATTTACAATACACAGTGTAGATATAGAACTTATTTCTGAGGAACCAAATCATGATATAGAATGAGATAAAGTCAAATAAATAGGGTATTTTGTAAATTTCCAGACTCCTTTTTATGTATATTGTGCATACAAACATGAACTGAGCAGTTTTTGTCCATATACAGTATGTCTTCCACTCATAAAAAACTATTTCTGTAACAGTAGGATGGAATCCACATGCTCCTGTAGTCATCTACATTAGCTGCATGTGCTTGTGTTAGGTTTTGAGGAAAGAACTCAGGAGTGAGAATCTTAGTCGCATTCCCTGTCAGATGGCATTCAGTCACTTGATGAATGAAATTTTATAATCTTCAGAGGGAGCGCTTCTCAGTTAGTACATTACTATGTAACTGAGTTAATAGGACTTAATCTTTAGTGATGTGCTACAAATACATTATCAGTAATATTTTGTTTCTAGAGCATGACAGATCAAAGTGAACCAGACTTGTCTGAAACAACTTAATTTACAATCTCCAATGCAATCATGCAATATTTTTTTCAAGGTCCTCCAGGTCCCCCAGAGGATGTGAGAGTTCAACACATTTCAAGCACTACCTCTCAGATAAGCTGGAAACCAGGACCAGACAATAACAGCCCCATTCAAATATTTACTGTGCAGACTCGGACACCATTTTCTGTGGGTTGGCAAGCAGTTGCAACAGGTGATACACATGTTTTTGGAAAATTTTCTAGTAATGTGCTTTTTAATTTTAGTAATATGATTTTGTTTTAAAATTTAACAATATTTGACATAATTATCTGTGATTTTTTTACTAATAATGCCAATATATTGCCATAAGTGTCCTTTTTTTTTTAGTCCCAGAAATTCTCAATGGTCAGACATACAATGCAACAGTGGTTGGTTTGATTTCTTGGGTGGAGTATGAATTTCGTGTTGTTGCTGGTAATAGCATTGGCATTGGAGAACCAAGCAAACCATCAGAACTATTAAGAACTAAAGCATCAGGTAAAAAGTCAAAAACATTTCCTAACATTTTATACTCTGTGATATAATTTTTCAGAAAAAACATATTTTATGATTTTTTTTTTATTATTTGAGGACAGAAATTGGAAGCAATAAATAAGGCTATCATTTTCTTGTTTTTATACTCAGAAAATAATTATACTTCCCTGGCACAGTAAGCTACATAAGAGATTATAATCTTTAAGGAGGCATCTCAAAGTATGAGATATCAGAATCTGACTATTCTTAGCTATTTTCTAGCCAAAATCCAGCTGAGAGTCTGAAGGTTGGTATATAAATGAGTTACTGCTTATTCATTAAGTTGCTGTAGCCAAGAATTGATTGAGTCTCTGGTCTGGTCAGACATATTTTTCAACTGTTGTTGAACTCTGACCTAGTCATAGCTTCATTGAACAGTAGTATAAATGCTTCCCCTTGCAAGTGAGATAAATCCTGAACTCATTTAATAGAAGAGCTAATTACATATGAATGGGTTCACTAAAGAACAGAACACTAGCCTGAAAGTATGTCTTCCTAAATTCTTTTCAATGGATCCTCCTCGTTCCTTTGCAACTTTCTCTGAGGATGACATTTGATTTCATCACAGTGAGCAGTGACCAAATTCATGTTATTATTGAGCTGTATGAATGGAAGACTGTCTCATGGTTGTTAACTTAGTTTAACAAATATAAGCTACTTCAATAAAGTCTGTATAACTATCAGATGTGAATCATTCTATTTTTATATTAAAGGTAAGGTAATGTTTTGTTCTTAGGATTCAGGCTAGGAAAATTAGACTCAGTGACAATAGCACTGTTTTGTGTCATGCTAGAAGTTTACAGTTGAGAAGTTCTTTCATTTCACAGAGGGGGAAAATGAAGGCCAGGAATTAGCTCATTATTTCTGACAGAAGTAAAATTGAACCAACAACTGAAGACTTCTACACCCATAATTCTCCAAATATTAATGGGTGCTAAACTATATGAGGAATAAATTAGCAAAAGAAAATGTGTAAATACAGAAATTTCCAATTGCCACCTTAAACCTGGTGGATCAGAATCTTCAAGTGTGCCCCATGACTCAGGATATTAATTTTAGTTTTTAGTTGTTTGAAAACAGCTGATTTATATCTTAGGCGTTTGACATGGTTAACTCAAACCATGAGGCGAATTCCTTATGCCCTTTCTAACTATTCACACAGTCCAGTGCAGTGACACCTGGTGGTGTTCTTCCTGATTTGTTGATTTCTCTATTAGGCAGAAATCACTGTCTATTATCAATGTCATCATCACCACCAGTTACTCAATTCTAACCATCATACTTCATTTTAAGTAAAATTATTTAAAAATGGAATAGAGAAAGTAGAGAAACTTTTGCTTGTTATATTAGAAACCTGAAAGCTAGTGAAGTAAAGTACTATTTAACATAATTTCCTTACAAAACTAAACTTTATAAAGGTCCTGGAATGGTGTTAGTGTAAACTATAAAGTACTATAAACCCAGAAACTATGTAGATTCTACTCTGATTCAGGACACTTTTAACCAAAGACTTCAAAGATTCAGAAGATAGGGTTTAATGTCAAACAATCCTTTAACATGTTGTAAGAAGGACTGGGTGTGGTGGCAAGTGCCTACAATCCCAGCACTTGGGAGGCTGTAAACAGTAGAATCACTAGGAGTCCAGTCTAGTAGTGAGACCCTGAACACCCAGTAGACCCTTCCCTAAAAATACAGAAAAAAAGTTGTAAGTAGGTAATTTAACTTCTTCCTTTATTTTCCATATTCCTATTATTTCTGTCTCTTGTCTAATTACTCTGGATAAAGTTTCCAGAACTAAATTGAATAGGAATGGTGATAATGCACACTCTTGTCTTGTCCCTGATTTTGTGTTAGAGTGAAAGCTTTCAGTATTTTTATTATGATGTTGATTTTTCTTTAGCCATAGATGAGTTTTATCATGTATATATATATAGACAATCTATTTGGATTTTCTCTGAGGTTTTATATTATGAGTAGGTGTTGGGCTTTATCAGATGCCTTTTCTGCATTTATTGAGATGATCATGATTTTCCCCTTGGTTCTATTAATATGCTGTTTTACATTTATTAATTTGGATATACTGAACCATTCCTGCATCTTTAGGGTGAATCCCACTTAATAATCTTATTGATTATTACCTGCATTCTGTTTGCCAGTATTTTATTGAATGTTTTTTCTGCCTACATTTATTAGTGAGATTGGCCCATAGTTCTTTTTCCTGCTTCAGTCATTCTCTGGTTTTGGTATTAGCATAATGCTTGCTTGCAGGAACTACTTTGGGAGTATTGCTTCCCACTCAGCTTACTTAATGTGTTTAAGAAGTAGTGGTATTAGACCTCTAACTTGCAGCATTCAGCAGGAAATCAGTCAAGACCTGAACTTTTCTTTGGTTTTTAATTGTTTATTCAATTGCATTGAACAAATTTTGCTTTTTTAGAATCTCAGTATCTTCTTGATTTTGGTTATGGTGATTTATATTTATCTAAGATTTTGTCTATGTTTTTCATTTTATTTGAATACAAGTTTTCAAAGAAGGTATTAGTGACCTGAATTCTGTAGGGTTTGTCAGGGTTTCACACTTTTGATTTTTAATCTCATGGATTTAAGTCATTTCTTTCCTTTTATTTCTTGTAAGGTTGGCTAAGGATATGTTCAGTTTACCTAATCTTTCAAAGAGCCAACTCTTGGATTCATTGACTTTTTATATTGTTTTCTTCATTCCAATTGCATTCATTTCTGCTCTGATCTGTAATTTCCTTTCTTATACAAGCCTTGTGCTTCAAGTATGAGGTTCAATATTAGGTTGTTTATTTCACCGCACTCTTTTTTCCTGCTGTTAAAATTCTTGATGATAAATTTTCTTTGAAGGACTGCTTCCATTGCATCCATTAATATAGGGAAGAAGTTAAATTATCATTATTTTCAGATAACATTATAATCTACATAGAAGACCCCAGAATTTTACCAAAAGACTTCTTGATTTTAGAACCAAACTCAATCTACCATATAAATATGAAATTGAGACTCAAAAAGTGGGCCAACTATATAGCTCAGTGGCACAGTGCTTGCCTGGCAAGGGTGAGGTCATGAGTTCAATTTCAGGTCCAAAATAATCATCAGAAATCAATAGCATTTCTGTACACAAATAACAGAAATTCACTGAGAAAGAAATTAAAGGAACAGTACCCTTCACGATAGTATCAAAAAATAAAAACTCAGGAATCAATCTATCTATCAATGATAATTTAACTTCTTCCCTATATTAATGGATGCAATGAAAGCAGTCCTTCAAAGAAAATTTATAGTCAAGAATTTTAGCAGCAGGAAAAACTAAGAAGTTAGTAAAAGATCTTTACATTGAAAAAATATGGTAGTCTAGTTCCATGTGGGGGGTGAAGTGTGCTGACCTCTCTCTCTCCCCCATCTACCCTTCGGCCCTGGGACTGGTGGACAATGAGAAGGAGATCTCCCTTCAATTCCCTTGGGTTTTTGTTTTGCATTTGTGAAGATAAGAAGCAAGAGGAGGCCACCACCAGTACCCAGGTGGCCTGTCTGTACTGTAAGCAAAATCAAATTCTGAAACAAGCCATTGACTCTGACTCTGACAATGAAAAGTTCTACTAAGCCTCTGTGCTCCAGGGCCAGGGGTAGAGGTTAAGAGGACCCAGAGAAATGGAAGATCTAGTGTCTCAGTCTGATATATGTGCGGGGTCCTGGATTGATTTGGTCACTTCTTTCAATAAACAATTATCAGACCAAAAGAAAAAAAAGAAATAAAGAAAAATATGGTAGTCTCAAAAAGGAAATCCTCGAGGATATCAGAAAACAGAAATTTAATCTTTGCTCTTGGTTAAGGAAACATAGTAAAAATGACCATACCTTTACATTTGTTGTATATATTTAATACAATGTGAATAGAAACATCAGTTGTATACCTCATGAAATTAAAGAAAACATTCCTAATATTCCAGCAGAACCAGAAGAGACCTAGAATAGCAAAAATAATTCTGAGCAACAAAGACAAGGCAGGTGCCATTACAGTCCCTTGAAGTTTTTTATTTGGTTAATCATTGTTATTATTATTATTATTATTAGTGAGTGAAGGTCTCATTATGAACTTCAGGCTGGCATGGATTCACCCTGCAGCCAGTGCTTGCCTCTAATTCACCGCAATCCTCCTGCATCTATTTGCTGAATGCTGATGTTTTACACATGTGAGACTGTCTAGCCTTAATCATACTACAAGGCAACAATGTTAAAAGCAGCATGGTACTGGCACACACACACACACACACACACACACACACACCTAAGTCAATATAACAGCATAGATGTTGTAGAAACCATTCCAAACACACACAGGCACCTTACTGTCTACAAAGAGGCCAAACACGTTTACTGGAAGAAAGAAAGCCTCTTTAATAAATGTTTCTGGAAAACATGGTTTTCCAAGCGTCAAAGACATGGGCTGGGGAGATGGCTCAGTGGAATGAGTGCTTCCCTGGCAAGCACAAGGGCCTGAGTTCGATTAACGGTTCCATAAAAAATAAATAAATAAATAAATAAATAAATAAATAAATAAAATGCATTCAAATGTCAAAGACTAAAACTAGACCTATGTCTCTTATCATGCACTAAACTAAAATCAAAATGGATAAGAGATCTAAATATCAAGATAGAAACACTACATTTTTTGGAAGAGTTACAGGACAAGATTTCACTCAAAACAAAACCCTGCTTGTGAGGGAAATATTTCAAAGAAACAACAACAGTAATCTCACCTTATTAAAAAGCTTTTTCACAGGAAAGGAAACCAACAATAGAGTACACTAGACTAAAATCAAAATGCTTCAAAAATCTAAATATTAAAATATGTATTCACAGAGGCAGCACATATACTGAATATTAAAATAAGAACACTAAATCTGCTGTAAGTCAGAGTAGGTAGAACTCTTGAAGATACTGGTATAGGCGAAAACTTTATGAACAAAACATAAATTACATGAACTATCACAAAGAATCAACAACTGGGATCTCATTTGACTGAAAAGCTTTGTACAAGAAGAGAATTTACTATCAGAGTGAAGAGGAAATGTATAGTGTGGGTAAAAAAATATTTTTCATTTGTTCCTCAGTCAAAGGACTACTATCTAGAATATATAAAGAAAAAAAAATAAATCAGAATCTCTCAAATTTAAAGACCAAATACAAAACTAGTCATGAGAAATGAATTGATACTTCTCAATGGAAGAAATCCAAAGGCAAATAAATGTATGAAAAATGTTCAACATCACTGGTCATTAGAGAGATACAAATTAAAATGATGCTGAGATTCCATCTAACCCCAGAAAGAATGGCTATTACAAAAATTTAACCAATACCAAATGCTGGCAGTGCTCTGGGGTCAAAGGAACACTTCTCCTCTGTTTTTGGGAGTGTAGACTGGTACAATCACTGTGGATGCCAGTGTAGAGATTGCTCAAAAAATTAACATTATAAGTTCCATTTGGCCAACCTCTTCAATGTTGGTATATCTCCAAACAATTAAAAGCATCCTGCCACGGAGACATACGCATCCATATGTTTATAGCAGCACAGTTTATAACAGCTAAATCCTGTAAACAGCGCAAATATCCATCAATTGATCAATAGATAAAGAAGAAAGAAGATGGGATTTTTCTATATAATAGAATGTTACTTAGCTATAAAGAAGAATAAATCTGACATATTCCTAGGTAAATGGATTTACCTTGATATCAACATTTTAAGTGAAATAAATTAGACATACCTGTGTGAATATTGCATTGTTTCTCCTATTTGAACAACAGAGGATATAAATAAGGACCAAAATGTGTAAGTGATATTGTGAAACAGGAAGAAAAATTTCAAATTGGTGAGTAGGGAGCGGGGAGAGGAAAAAGAAAGAAGGGAAAAGAAAAAATGAGAAAATTATGAAAAATGGAAGCAAAGCTTTTGCAAATAAAAAGATAATAGGTTGAAGAAAGGGAGATGAACAAGAAGAAACAGACACTCAAAATATGTCATGTACAGGTACAAATTCCTTATGATGATGGTGATCATCATGTATATCTAAAATGTACAAATAAACTTAATTTAAAAATTGAAGCAGAAAACATTAAGGGCAAGTATGAATATGAAGATATATGTAAGATGTCACTTTGAAAAAGTCATAAGAAGATTTTTTATTTACTTAGACTTCTCTATGAAATCAAAATAAACTAAAGAAGTACATAGATTTCTTTCATCTCCATGATAGGAAAAATGAAACTGAGCAATTAAGCCTTATGTACTTTGATCTCTACCTCCCAGGTTCCAACCATATACCCATATTTCCATCCTCAGCCCTGGATACTGGTCAAACACAGTGTAAATGATTTCATGTAAGTCAACCTTTTGACTGAATACTCAGCAAGTTTACCCTTTTTTTGTTTTTGTGGTACCAGGGATTGAACTCAGGACCTTTCTCTTGCCAGGCAAGCATTTATTCCATTGAGCTATCTCCCCAGCCCAAGTTTAGCCATTTTAGCTGTATTTAGAATTCTATATTTTTTACCACTGAGTGAAACAAATCATTTTCGACAGTTCCACATGTATGTAGTAAAACCTCCTTCTGAATATGTATCACATTATTCCATACGCATTAGCAACTGTGATCAATTTTATAATTCACCTTGAACTATTATCTATTACACTAGCTATCTTGAAGGTATAGTTGAAGGCTTGTTTCCTTCTTAATTCATATAATTATTAATTTCTAAATATTGTGTGACAAAGCCTTACATTCAAGAGATAAATAGAGGAATCCTCTCGTAATTTCGTTTTTTACATAAGAAAACTCTGATTTTTCTGAAGAGTAAAGTTAAAAGTTTTTCTTATTCTTATCTGTAAGATTTGACATTCAGATATAGGGTTTTACAATCAAAAATTAATTTTGAAGAACTAATTTTTAAATGGTAAAATAAGTTGATAGCTAATAAAGAAAGGAATGATTTGAGTTTGTTTATTGATAATATAATAATTAATAGACTACTTCAGCAACTTGTTTACAGCACAACTGTATAATTAGGCACTAAATCAGCAGTGTCACTGTTACCATCTGAATGGAACATCATTTTGCCAATTAGCAGATGATGCATAATAATGTCAAATACATGATGTTACTTGATTTTTAATTAATTTTGGAGCCAGGGTGCTCATGTATCAAACACAACTGTGTCCTTTCTCTTAGAAATTCGGGTATGTATAAACATAATTTATGTTCATTAAAAATGCAAGACTCTCTCACAGTGTGCCTGGGTGAGATTTTGAAAGGTGAAAACCAGAAACAAAATTCTTCTTGATGAAGGCGTCATTTAATAATTTTCATCCCACATCTCTCTTGGTTGCTTTTAGTTCCTGGCGTGGCACCGATAAACATCAATGGAGGTGGCGGAGGTCGATACGAGCTCGTCATTACGTGGGAGGTAACTATCCATCCAAATGATTTATTTTGAAGGAAAAAGATTTAGCTGACCAGAAAGAATGCTGAGAATTAAAAAGATTTATTTGATCACTACTGAGAATTTATAAAAGTATATGGTATAAAACTACATTGTCCTAATGATGAATTATTCAGAGTATTATTAGAACATTCTCATTTCTACCAAAACAAGCATATGACTTAACTCAGCACAATTTTCCCCAAAATATAAGGGCAATGACTTTAATATCTATTTTGAACATTGGCCAGTAGCATTTTCATTATGATTGGATAAATTTGGCCCTGTTTTATTTATTAGCTGTGGAACTGTTTCACTGAGAATGAGGTGGACTCTTAAAATACAAGCAAAGCCATCTGTTGTCTTCGTGTTGTTTTTTGTTTTTTTTTTTTTTTTTCATCCTGTCAACTGGTTCTTCCTTGTATCTGGATAAGAACTGAAGCACATGGAGTCACTACTCTGGTCCTCATGTGTAATAGTAACACATAGGCTCATTTTTTTTTCTTTTTTGTTTACTGATTTCTAATTTTAGTCTTGTTTATTATGAATATCTATTTTACTTTAACGAAATTTAAAGCTTCTCATTTCCAAAAATTCAAGCAGGCCGTAATCTAGAATTCTGTAGCATGAAGAGGAATGTATAGCCAGATCTTCCCAATTATTGCCTTTCTTTTCTTTCCTTTTTTCCTTCGTAGTTCACTGTGTTATCCCTGTGTCCTCCAGAGTCGTGGAAGGCTGGCTTTGGAAAAAAGGAAGGGGGTAAATGGGGCTTTTTTAGTGATACATTTGTAAATTGGTTTCAGTACACCTCTAGCATAGCAAACAACCAGCTGGTGGCATTTTGGAAACTAGTGAGGGGTTTGTCTAATTTGCGAGGGTATTCCTCACAAGACCTTTTACAGGAGAATACAGTTACAATTCCTTGTTATAGATCCAGCTGACTGCTGAAGAATCCCCAGTCTCTAGATTCTCATAGTTTGTGTTCAGATTTTCCCTCCACTAGTTTTGGGGGATAGATTCCCTTTCCAGGCTTCTCACAGGTTCCTCTCCTCTTGAGAGTTGGACATTTGTTCCCACGGAACAAGCATCTTTGTTCCGTGTTTGGTGGCAGGTCAGTAACATGCCCCCTCCTCTTTGGTCTTTGCTTTGTTTCCAAAGGCTGTGAAGATCTCTTTGCACTGCAGAAGTTTCTCAGACATTTTTAGTTAACAGAATCTACCTTATTTATGAATTCCAGGAAATATAGACCTTGTGATTCTTTCTGAAGCCTTACTTGCACAGCTAGTTGAGGGAAGAAGTACCTCTTGTTCTTTCAGTTGGTGGAAAAGTAAAAATGGAATTTTTTTCTAAAGTTCTCTTAAGATATTTTTATACAAATATGTCTAAGTACTAAATAAGCCATCATATGAAATTATTTGATGTCTTTTTTTAAGCATGTCCAGTAATCCAGACCTTTGTTATCAATTTGGGTCCCAGCTGAAAATGTAATATAAAAATATATAAATATATAAATCAATACATATATATGGTATGTTGACACATTATATACTAGTCTATTTTATTTAATTTGTGCTTTGTTTTTAAAGTTTTTTCTTTTGTAGTAGAACTTTCACAGAACAATTGTGGAAATTTACATAGGTGTCTCATGGATTGTTGGACCCCACATACTCAGAACCTGCACCTGTTAGCAATATTCTAATGAAAGTAATGTTTGTCAGTGGATGATCCAATGCTAATACATTATTATTACCCAAAAGTCAGAGTTTGCATGAAGTCTTAGACGTTGTGATCTATATATCCTATGGTTTTACAGACTATTTTTTTTAAATTTTAGTACCGGCTCTATAGGGTCTCACTATGTAGATCAGACTCCTAGTTATTCTCCTGTTTTCAGCCTCCCAAGTGCTGGGATTACAGGTGCACCACCACACCCAGTCTCAGTCACTGTCTTAGTGTGCCCTGGGTGTGGGGGTGGGGTGGGGCCCACCATGGATCAAACCCTGACAGCGAGGCTCTGCGTAAGCAGGTGCTTTAGTCCTCTGAGCTATCTGGCTGGCCCTATCCTATGGTTTTAGACCAATGCCTATGGACTGAGATATGTGTCTACCATTGAAGTACCATTAAGAGTGTTTTTATCTTCCATAAAAGTCCTTAATTCTGTTTACTCATCATTCTTTTCCTATGGACCCTTATAAACACTGGTCTTTTTCACTATTTCCATAATTTTTCCTTTGCCAGACAGACATAGAACACAGTTGGAATCACACACTATGAAGACTTCAGATTGCCTTCTAGCACAGAATATTCATTGAAATTCAATTTCCTCAATGCCTTTTTGTGACTTGCTGTATCTTCTTAACTATGAATTACATTCTGTTGTTTGAGTATAGCATAATTTATTTATCCATTCACCTCTTGAGGAACTTCTTGGTTGCTTTTTACTTTGACAATTCTACAAAAAGTTGACAAAAACATTTTTGAACAAGTTGCTGTATTCTCAAAGACTATTACTTCATTTGGTAAATGACAGAGTATAATTGCTGGATCATATGGCAGCAGTATGTTTAGATTTATTTATTTAGTTTTTGTTTTGGCAGAACCAGGGATTGAACTCAGAACCTTGCGCTTGCCAGGGAGGTGCTTATTCCACTGAGCCATCTCCTCGGCCCTAATATGCTTAGATTTAAAAGGAACAATTGAACTTTTCAGAGTGCCTGTATTATGTTGTGTTCTCAGTAGAAATGGATCGAAGTTCCTGTTTTTCCACATACTTGTCAGATTTTCATGTTACCAGATTTATAAATTTTGGCCTTTCTTATGGTTCGATACTATGTATCTAAAATTCATCTAAAATTTAAATATTCAATGATAATTTTATCCTCTCAAAATATCTATTTCATTATACCTTTCAGTATTATCTCTATAAACAGGATGATCATGGATGTTTTCATGAAATTTTGAAAGATCTGCTAAGTAGAAGAGTAGTTATTATTTTATCCTTAGGGGACACTGTACTGTGACTGGGGACATATTTGTGTTATAACTAAGGAAAATGGGGATTGGAGCATATGACTTCTTAGTGTTCAGGATTGTGCTAACATCCCGCAGTGCACAAAACAACCCCACATCTGGAGATTGTCTAGGCCAAAATGGCAATAATGATGCCACGGTTGACAAATTCTGTTACATAAGTGCAGTTACTCATTGGATTTCCTTTATTCCTCATAAAATTGAGAAGAGGAGAGAGAGAGAGACAGAGAGAGAGAGAGAGAGAGAGAGAGAGAGAGAGAGAGAGAGAGAGACAGAGAGACAGAGAGACAGAGACAGAGAGACAGAGAGACAGAGAGATCATTAATCCTTTTTATATTAGGGAAACTGAAAACAGCTGGAAACAGGTTTTCTAAAGGATATCAATGACAGACATGAGGTTACAGCTGCCTTAAAAGTCATTTCTTCTGAACATCTTGATTCATGTAAACATTATGGGCCTAACATATTTTCTAGAATGTGGCACACTCACCAGAAAGACTTGATGAATGAAAGGCTGTATACTAAGAGAGCTGAAACTCTCAGAAGCCTGGGAAAGAGAAAATTCACATTTGTGGAGAATTTCCATAATTTTAAGAGCTACACCAAACATATATCTTACTTAGTCATCAAAACAATGCTGAGAAGTAGGTAATACCATGTTGGGATAAGAAAACAGAGGCTTAAAAAGGGTAAAGAAGCATTTTAGCAGCAGGCACACAACATCCTGGGTTAGAACCTGTATTTTGTTTTGTTTTGTTTGTTTCATATTTTCTAAATTAGGATTCTCATTGTCCTCCCACAATTCGATGCTTCAGCTTGAGCAACAGTCCTTGTTTGCCTCAGGAAGTAAGGCATATCGTTCCTGATATGCTGAATGTATTTCCCACAAGAGTCTAGCAAGAGGATTCACTTTTATTTGATGGCAAGTGAGTTATTTAGTTTCCAGTGCTCTTCAGATGTCACAGTGCATTTTCATCATAGAAGCATTTTTTTCATAAAAGCATTTTCTTCATAGTGTACGGCAAGTTTTTCTGACTTCATGCTTTAATTTCTTCTCCTCAGTCAGAAATTTCTAAAGGTGAGTGGATAATTATTTACACCCAGTCTGTATGTGAGAGCAGGAACTCCTTGCACATCATTTCTTTATACGGAACTAATGGTTGCTACATTCCAAAAGCTTCATATCCCACACCTAAAGTATTAGAAACAAAACAAATCAAAACAAATAAGCAAAACTATACAATACTGTGTATCTTTTATATACTCCCAATTACAAGTTGGAGGGCCTTGTGGAGAATATATAATAAAATACATATATATATATATATATATATATATATATATCATATATAATACTATAAATTAAGAGATAAATAGGTATAATTGGTGTTGGCCCACTATATGTAAAAAAGCAAATAATGAAACTATTTATACTTGTTGGTTACCTGATTTCTTTCACAATTTTTACTTTACAATCATAGCTCAATACATGATACATTCAAGAAATTGGTGTAACTTTATTTCCCCCAACCCTAAGAAATAGCTGTTACTATGTTCCCAAAATCTTCGTTTTCAGTGTGAGGTTGTATACTAGACAGGCTGGAAAAGTACAATTTGCTGAGTCCTGGTTCATAATAAAGGTTTAGTTCACATAAATGCTGTGGTTGAGAATTATGTTATTAATCTTTTATTAATTTTAGTGGATTTCTCTGCCATTCGGATGCTTTAATTTGTTCATCGCACTGAATCACTTTCTCTGCTTTAAGAAAGAAAATGTTTTCTGTCCATCTTTAAGCAGCTGCTTAGGTTTCTTCTTCAATGTTCTGTTTGTATGGGGAGAATAAAAGGTAGCACCTAAATAAGTAGCTTTTCCTCCCCTAGAACTGAATGCACTGGAATTAGATCTCTCTTGCAGGAACACTCTGTGGAATACTAAATGTACCTAGGGTGAACTGACTAAGCATAGGGATTATCTCAGAAGTCAAAGAAGCACCAAAAACAAATCAAATAGTCTATCAAGTTACTTAAACTCTGCTAAGTGTCTTCCATAGTATTCAAAATTGGTTCTTTTAATATGTGTTTTTCCCATAAAAATTAAGAAAATCACTAATACAAGAAACTGTTGTCTTTCCCAGATTTCAGAATAAAATAATATTTTTTCTCTTCTTCTCACTTTCTGCATTTGTTAGTAATCCACATGGCAAGAAATAGAGACCAGCTCAGGTCATGCTGGTTAATGGAGATTTATTTTAAAGTTACATAGAAAGCAATGAGGACACAAAAAAGTCCCTGCAACCAGGCAGGCAGGTCAAATGTGGAACCTAAACGTCGTTCATCATTGTCCCGCACACAGGAGCTCTAGGGGACGGTCAGCCATGCTTGCAGCACTTTCCAGTGTTGACGGTCCCTCCTGCTTCTGAATTAGCAGCTCCCATTTTCTTTACTTCTAATTTTGTACCTGGCTACTTAAGGAAATTGCATCTCCTCTATCAGAGCTGCTGTTTCTATTTTCTACTCCCTTAGTATCCTTATTGCTGCACATTTTCTTCTTATTCCTGGCTCTCTGCTCACCTGTTGTGCCCTCTTCTACTCCTGGTTTAGACCCAAACCCTGTAAGTAAAAGAAACTAATTAGATTTGTTACTTATTGTGGAATATAAGACTGGCTCAGCAACAGAACACTACATAGGTGCCAAGCAAGATGGTGCCTTTGGTTCTGGGGCCGATACCTCGGTAACTAAATGTTGCCCAAAAGGCAGGATAATGCGATACAGTAAATGGACTCCAAGGCATAAAGAAAATCTCGGAAGTGGTATTGCAAACAATAAAGAATCAGAACATTAATTCCCATTGCTTACATCTTTATTAGCCTATGGAAACATTTAGAATCTGTTATAAGAATTCCTCCCCCCCTTTGGAAAAAACAAAATAAAAAGTCCCATTGCTTTTTTTAATTTTGAGTACAAGTTTGTTGTAATCAGGTGGAATTTTTTTTTTGTTTTTTAAAGTGAGTACAAATTAGAATTACAGCAGAGAAAATTACAAGTCATACAGAATTTTACATAACAAAGTAATATGAATTTCACAGTATTTGTTGTAATATAGTGTCTTCCAACTCCAGATGGAATGTTTATCCAAATTCAAAAACATATATTTCCTTTTCTTAGTTTATGTGATTAATTTTTTTTCTATTTGCAGTGTTATGGAAAAACGTGTATATTTCTATGTTACAATTTTACTATTTTCAAGTTTTAAATGTGTTATAGAGTTTGATCTGTATAAGTATTTGCAGTGTATTTTTATATCAATAAATTGCACACTGATATTACTACTAATGAAGACATATGCTTTTAAAAATGACAAGAGGCTTATGGGTTTTTTGTGAAAAAAATGTGTGGAGATACATCATATTGTACAGAAATTATATCGTATACATTTTACAAGTAAATGTTAAAACAAAATGTGTATATCCTTGGGAAAAAATAGTTGGTAAGTTAACTTTTTACTGAGTTTAAAAATTCATGCAAAATTATATTTTAGCTTATAAAATGCAATATTCTAAGCTATTTTATTATTATAAATTATGAATGATCTAGGAAAGAGATATACATATGTGAAACCTGTTTTATATTTGTATTTGAAAGCTTCAGTTGTGTATCTGAGTACCTTTTGTTGGGATCCTTTTTCTAATCAACATTCCAAACACAAGTACTTCTTGGTACCTCAACAAAATATAAATATTCATATTTGTCTCTGTAAAGAAATGACAAGTATCAATAAATGTTATAACAGTTCAATAAAATATATTTGCAAGTACTCAGTGATTGATTTCATTCTTCCCAAGTCAATTCCAGAAGAACTACAGAATGGAGAAGGCTTTGGGTATATCATTATGTTCCGACCTGTTGGCTCTACAACTTGGACCAAGGAAAGAGTAGCACTTGTGGAATCATCAAGATTTGTGTACAGAAATGAAAGCATCATGCCTCTCTCTCCATTTGAAGTCAAAGTGGGTGTGTATAACAATGAAGGAGAAGGACCCCTGAGCACCGTGTCCATTGTCTACTCTGGAGAAGATGGTAAAATTTTCAGCTCTGAAATGGATTTCCTGAGACTTTCTGCACATTTTGTATGTTGTTTTCCTTGCACTACTTTGTTAAAGATAGTTATGTCTTTTCCTGGTGGTAGAGCCTCAGTTGGCCCCAAGAGGAACATCTGTCCAGAGTTTTTCTGCTTCAGAAATGGAAGTTTCCTGGAATGCTATTGCCTGGAATAGAAACACTGGAAGAGTGTTGGGCTATGAGGTAATCTACATGAACTTTACTTCCCTTAGGAATGTTCCAACTCATCATACAATAACCTGCACAGCAGTCCTATGCCACTGAGCTAATTCTTAGGATATAGTAATAGTCACTATGAAGGCAGCTTCTTGTGGCTATAATACTTCAGAAAATATGCAAAAGTATTTGTATCAAGGCACAGTTCAGAAGGTTTCAGTCAATTGTTGTTTGACCCTCTGTTGGTTGACTTCTGAGAGACCATGGCAGTCAATACTGTGCATTATGGTGGGAGCATGTGAAATGACAGTCATTCACCTCATGGCAGGCAGAAGGAGAGAGACAGGAAGGTGCCAGAGTACCAGGAGCTCCATAGAGGGGGTATCCTCCTTGACTTAACTTCCCCTCACTAGGCCCTAGCTTCGGAAATTTCTGCCCCTCTGAACAGTGCTTTGGGCTGGGGACCCAGCCATCAGTGTGTCTTGGAGAACATCACAGACTCAAACTATAGCAATATGTAAAGTTAATGAGAGAAATGAGAAGAACATGATTTTTCCAGACATTCACAGGCAGACTAACAAATGACTGCCATTTTTCAAGGTAGAGTTTCATTTAAGACACATAACCTTTCGGGATCTGTTCCACATTCCCCCTATTATTAACAATAGTGAATTAAAATTTGTTAAGGGGTTTAGGTATCATCTTAGCTATTCTTACCATCATAAGTTTACTTTTTCTGACAGTCAAACAATTTTTTTTAATTATGCAAGTTACAGTTGTCATGTTTCTTGGGGGGAGGAAAGTCTAATCCTCCATAATCTCAAACCATAGAAGAATTTCACTGGGAAATCTGCTCAGTGGATTGTTTCATGACTTGAAAAAATGCAATCATCTAGGAAAATGGAGCTAAGTGATAGGAGAAAAACCCCACTAGATTCTCATGTGTCTGCCCCTTTTAGTTGATATAGAATGAAGTAAATCACATTTGAAGGTTTTGTTCTTACAAAGTTAAGGGATGAGAATGTATAAAGGAAAAGTCATTAATCACTCATTGTTTTTCAACTTGGAAATTCAATGATTCATAAAAATGGATCGATACAGCTTACTACCTTTTGAAGTTAGAATAAAAGCATTATTCTAAACATCTTTAATTTTTCCTTGCATTTTTACTTTTTGCATGAATCTTCTTATAAATACAATAAAAATGTAAAGTCACATGAGAAGTATCTGCTATTCTATGCCTAGAACATGATCACTCTTAACTTAATGCTGTTTATTTCTAATAAGTTAGCTCCTACCTTCTCTTCCTCTTAATTCCTCTAATCAATGGCTTTCTTCAGATTATTATTATTATTATTATTATTATTATTATTATTATTTGTATTCAGCACATGGTCTACAGGGTCTCACTGCGTAAATTGGATTCGTAGTGATCCTCCTGTTTGCAGCTTCCCAAGTGCTGGGATTACAGGCACGCATCACCATGTCCAGTCTCAATCGCAGTCTCCGTGTGCCTGGGAAGGAGGGGGTGGTGAGTGGCATGTCTGGGGATTGAATTCCTGGCCCTTGCATCTGCATAAACAGGCCTTATAATACCCTGAGCTATTTAGCTTGCTATTCAAATTTTTATAGCATTTTTCCTATATCAGTTCTTTGTGAATAGTCTACACCTTCACATGTATATGCTAACCTCCAAACCAGATTATAAATGACTTAAAAGCAGATAGTAGGGGCAAGCAAGATAGCTCAGTGGCATAGAGACTGCCTGGCAAGTTCAAAGTCCTGAGTTCATTGCCCATACAAAGCAAAACAAAACTGCAGAAAAATGGAGGAAGTGATTTTTATTTTCTTTTGTCTTTTTAAAAGGTGTCTAGAACAATGCTAATACATGATAAAGGATTAGAATAAGGATAGAATAAGTTGAATTACTAATTAAGTTGTGAGCTAAAGAGCTGTAAAGGAAGTGGTAATAGCAGGACATCAATATTAAAGTTTTGTCTGATGGCGTGGTCTATTTTTCTTTGACTCATATATACATTGCGTTAAAACATGTAGCCTTTAGGGAGCACTAGAATCCCTTTAATTTGGTAATTTAGAAAAAAAACTAAGCTCTCTGACTGTCACTGAGAGTGTATATTTACATACAGTATGTTTATTCTCTTCCTGCAAATATTAGAGAGTGGTCACTTTTTAGCGGTGGTATGTACCTTTTTTCTTTTTATATTTTAAATAATCAGGTATTATACTGGACAGATGACTCCAAGGAATCGACAGTTGGCAAAATCAGAGTCAATGGGAATGTGACAACAGCCAACATCACAGGACTGAAAGCTAATACAGTCTACTTCGCTGCCGTGCGAGCTTACAACACCGCGGGGACTGGGCCTTCCAGTCTCCCAGTCAATGTCACCACCAAAAAGTCCCGTGAGTGTTGCTTGTACTCCAGGGGATGGGAGACATCCACGAATAGAGACATGATGATTAACCTGTTTGATTCATTAACTGGCTTATCCCTAAACTGGAGATAATTATCAAAACCTTCAGATACAAAATAAATAAGCTAGCTTTGACCTTTCCAGAATTCCAAAAGAGGAAGTACTCTGATCATTCAGGTGAAAGAAGAATGTAATGTTTAAAAGCAATGGCTCTCGGGCCCTCCCCCAAAATGAGTTTAAAAAATTGACCTCACCATGTTATAGGGACATTAGTTAGGTGGTTAATGAATGTTATTGTTCATGTCTAGATGTCCTCCCAAAGCCTCATGCTGTCATGGAGGACTGGCCTTTCGGAAGTCCCTGAATCTAGAGTTTGTGATTGGTTTTTGATCTAGTACAGGGATTTAAAGTGGAAGTGATACCTGCCCTAGGGTGGGAAGCCTGTATACAACAAAAGGGATGGAAAGAGGCTTGCTCTCCCTTCTTGTCTTGTTGCTTTGGGTATCTTCTGCTACCATAAATAGTTGCCCCTCTCTCGTGCCAACCTACCTTTGGAGCCAGCAGATTATGGACTAAAACCTCCATCAACTATGAGCTGAAATAAGCATTCTATCCTTTAACCTTGGGATTGGGGTATTTTGTCTCAGCACTGAGGGTAGAGTAACTAAGATACTAAAGCTTTCTGAGTCTCACTATCCTTTCCTGTGAAATGAGGAAAAAATAAAGAAATGTATATCTCCTCATAGTTTCACTCAACATTGAAAATGATAATAAAAATGAATATATTACAGTAGAGGCTGAGTAAATAATTTTTTGTCTTGTTTTGCTTACCATTTGAAATCTAGACATGTCGTTATAGGGTATCTTATAGATTAGTTTGAAGCCCTTGTATCTAAAGATGAACTTTCTGCTCCTTCTTATCTTCCTTGATAAATTACATATTCAAGGTTTACTAAATAAAAGACCATCATTGATTGCTTCTTTTTATGAAATGTAGAATATGTTATTGTCTTAATTCCTTATGGAATGTGTCTTACTTCTTTGTTGCTGGGACAAAATACCTGACACTGGCAAGTTAAATGATGGAAGGTCTATTTCACCTCACAGTTTGGAGAAACTTTAGTCCAGAGTCCATGGCAGATCAGGCAGAAGGGAGCAAACTGCAAACCTTCCTCCCCTTTTATTCCATTAGGACAACAAGGCTTTTGAATGATGCCCACATCCACAGTGATGTTTCCAATATCCACACCCAGGTCTAAGGTAAACCAATTTAGTCCTCACATACCTTTAGTCTACATAGCAAATACCCTAATCCAGCATAATACACTCAAGATCCAGCCACTTTACAAAAACTTGATCTATCGTGCATTAGGCTTTGGGAGATATACACATGCAAGCCATAACACTACGTGCTGGACAATTTAGACAATATTCTGATTGTGGTTACCTCTGACCTCAGAGTCTTACATTGCTCACATATTCTAGAGTATGAGGAATAGTGATAAATTGGCAATGGTTTTATTATTTATAATTTAGTAACTTTAAAATGTATTTTTTGGACTGCTTAGTGTTTGCATATGCGTTATACGTGATAGATGAATATAAACTTTGCATGCTCGGCCAGGCAGCTAATCTGATAGCTGAGATGGCTGCTACGTGACAAATGGGTAGTTAGCATCGATGGTATGGATGCAGCGGACAAACGATCATTCCTGCCTTAGATGGGCCACAGCAGGACAGTAGGCAACTGCATTACAATGCTCACTATCCAATTTAAAATAATGAATTGTTTATTTTTGGAGTTTTCCATCTAATAGTTTAGATTGTGGCTGAAGGTGGATTAACTGAAATCATGGAAAGCAAAACTTTGGATAAAGTGGAAGTTATGATAGTTTCTAGAGTTTGAGGAAGACTGCAACATCAATCCACAGGCACTAATAAAGAGAAAAAGCCTAGATTGCCTAATGAACAATATATTTTTATTGCTATTTTACACTGAGTAAGAATGTGTGGTTGGGAATAACTTGATAATTTTTTTCCTTATGCATGAAGATCCACTTAGTTAACATGTCCTTGATTAAATAGATGTTATCTCCATTCTGTCCGAGCAGTATTCAGAAACTCCTGTGCCAATTCTGGGCATATCACTGACTCCTGACATGAAACAGAACAAGACATCCCACTTATATGCTTTAGTTTTTTGATCTGTTACATGGAAATTCTCTCTGCTCTCACTCTCTTCCTAAATTATCCATGAAGCAAAAATGAGGCACTGAACATGAGAGGACTGTGGAAAATACAAAGTGCTACAGAACTGCTGTGAAGGAAAAAAGCGAGCGAAAAGATTTCTAGGGGTAAAGCTGTGGACTACAAATGCTTGAGTGAGCTCTGCTTCAGCCCATCAAGCTCAAGACAAATTGGTCTCTGAATCATTATCAAGAATGAATTAAGTTAAGGTGTAGGCCTATTCCTCTTCCTGTTTTATTCTATGCGGTCTGAATCATTGAAGTCATTTCTAGATATCTGTATACATTTTTTTTTTCCTGTGTGGGCTTTTGAGGAGTAGTCTAGCCTTTTTCTGCTAATCTGCAAATCTGGGTAGAAATCTCAAACCAATCAGTTTTAATATTGCCCAGACATTTAGTTCTGGATGACTGAGAGGTGACAAAGTCACAACAACACTATGCGTAATTCACTTTCTATCTCTAGTAAAATCAAGATTGCTTAGGAATGTGTGGCAATGGTATTTTTTTAATCTCTCAGATTTGTTTAATGATAAACTGACATACATTTTAGGACAGTTATTCAGCCAAGACACAGGTCAGCTTTTATTAAACATAATCCCATTGAAAAGCCTACAATAGAGACCTGACTGAACAATTTACTTTTGGAAAAAAAAGAGAAATATTATACATATATGTATGTGTGTGTGTGTGTGTGTGTGTGTGTGTGTGTGTGTAAACTTTGAGAAAAATTTTGAATGTACATGAAACCTAAAATAAATGGAAATTATTTTGTGCTAACCCATTTCAGGTCTTTAAAAAGAAAACTTTGTTTTTGACATCAAGTTTGTTTAGTTGAGCTACTTGGTCTTAAAATAGGATAGGCTGAGATCATAAATTCAGCTTAAACACTGATAAAGTTATCGGTGGCTTGTTAACAGTTAACACATGATCAACTTATTAAAAGTAAAGATTATATTTTTTCAAAAACTAGTTTATCTAGAGATAATTTAGCTCAGCATGGAAATATATATATATATAATATGTATTATATATATAAATATATAGTAGATGTCTTTCATAATTCATCATTTCTCTTTATTCAAGCACATAAACAGAAACCCTTGTGGTTCCAAATATTTTCCATGGAAATTTAGTTCCAAGATTTCTTAAATTTAGCTTTCAGCAGCCTTTAAATTTGACTCTCAATCATAAAATAAACAACAAGCACTAAAGATTGAGAAGGTTATTCAAATTTCCCTCCTATTGTTTTTTTAATGCTATCTGAATCTGCAATTTTATTCTTTGATATTCTGTATCACTGACATTGCAAAATTAGGATAGTAATATTTTTACTGATGGTGTTAAAAGTTATCACAAACAGTATTTTAAACCATAGATACTTGCTATTATGATTGTCTAGAGTTCAAATGTCAGAGATGGGTCCATGAGTTGGGAGACACGACCCTAGCAAGCACTGTCCTATCTTTGGAAGACAGAGAGAACAGTTTGCTTCCCTGATTTTTATGGCTTATAGAAAACACCAATTTCCCATGGCTTCCAAATTCTTTTTCCATTTGCAATACCAGTAATGTGTGGAATCTTTATCTCTGTTTGACTCTGACCTTGTGCTCTGTGAGCTCAGCTCCAGTCCCAGTCCCTCTCATTGTCTTACCTGCTGCATCCACTCCTTTTTTTTTTTTTTTTTTTTCATTTACTCTTACATACACTAATGTCTACACTGGTAACCTGGATATATGTACTGATGTCTGCACTGGGCAGCCAGATACATGCACTCATGTCTACACTGGATCCCCAGTATGTACACTCCTGCCTACACTGGAAGCCTGGATATGTACACTCATGACTACACTGGACCCCAGATATTTACACTAATGTCTACACTGAATATGTCCACTCATGTTTATACTGGATCCCTGGATACATACATCCATGTCTACACTGGACCCCCAGATACGTACACTCATGACTAACTGGACCCTTGGATACATACATGAATGTCTACACTGGATCCCCAGATACATACATTCATGTCTACACTAAACACCCAGATGCATACACTCATGACCACACTGAAACCACAGATCCATACACTCATGACTACACTGGATTCCTGGATATGTACACTGATGTCTACACTGAATCCCCAGATATGTACACTGATGTCTACACTAGAACCTGGAGTAATACAGAATGATTTCTCCAGATTGGGGCCCAAAACTTAATTACATTTATAAACTCTTCTTTTACAGAAAATAACATAACACCAGATTTTAAGATTAGGATGTGTCTGGGTGGCCTTGTTCTTACTGCCATAGACCACTGACCACTACTGACCCTCCCAATTTTTGTTGTTTTTTCACATTATTTTTTTTTTACTTTTTTATACAATAAATCTAGGAGGTTTTGTATTCTGATTTCTAAACAGAGAACAAATGCTCAGTAAATTTTTTGTTGTGGAAGCTTTTACACTGACACATGACAATATGAAGTCTATCCCACAACCTCTGTGTTAGCTTATAATCTTTATGCCTGGCCATATAGTCTCCTTCCCTGTAGACTCTCAAATCTTTGGTCTAAATCCTCAAAGTTCTCTGGAATTTTTCTTCCTAAAATACAATCATAATCTTTTTTGTCTCCAAATGTAACTGTTTTATCTTTCTGAGAAAGTACACTTAAAAACGATGTTCTAGGTCTCTCGCAAGCTGTTTTAAAGTTCTTTTCTATCCCATTCTTTATCTAGCCC